GGACAGAGGAAGGGAAGCACTAGGGCGGAGGAGCCCAGAGGGGTCATCTGACCCAGCCTGGAGCTGGGGAGGTCAAGGATGTCTCCCTGGGAAAGTGACATGGTGACAAGTGCCAAAAAGACAGAGGGTGGGGGGATAGTACCCAGGCAAAGAAGCTAAAGTGGGGCCCTGTAAGCAAAGGAGTCAGCAGAAGCCAAGGCCAGGAGGCTGAGGAGAAAGCTGGAGGGGGAGCAGGGGCTGGAAAATCATGGGTGCAACCAGAAGGGGGCAGCCTGGAAGGGTGGGAGCTTTGCCTGGATGCAAAGTTCAATAACCTGTACTATGGCCTCAGGGCAGTGAGTCATCATGGAAAGTTTCAAACAGAGGAAGAATAGGGTCAAATACGTGTTTACTAAAGCTCTTTCCAGCTCACATGGAAGGTGAAGTGGAAGGGGCAGGAATGGAGTGAGGACACAGACAAAAGGAATGCAGGCAACCTTCCGGAAGCCGAAGACAGGTCTGCCTCGCCCATGAGGAGCGCAGTGATGGTGCCAACTTGGGCCAGTGGGGCGGCGTCCTCCGCGGCTGGACTGGGGAGCGAAACGACAGCAACTTGTCTGTTCCCCTTCCCCCGGTTCCCCAGCACTGTTCCCATCCCCCCAGTTCACCAATGGAAAAAAAAAAAAAGAAGGAATGCAGGCTTGATGCATGGAGTAACTGGGGACCAGAGACTGTGCAGGGTGTCTTGCTCATGGCAAAGGAGAGAGGCAACTCCATCTCTTTATTCTGACAACAGAGTCTCCATTTGGTGGCTCTGCAGGCCCCACCCCTAATCACTTCAACAAAACCTGCACCAAAGGCTTTAGCTTCTCCTTCATGGCAGTGTCCGCTGGAGGCAGGTCTTTGGCCTTCATGATAGCTGCATGGGCCTCCTGAAAGAGGTCCTCCCCGATTGCAGCTTCTACACGGTTGTACCAGGCAGCCAGTTTGGGTCGGCTTTTGAAGACTTGGCAGCCGGCGCTGACGGGCTATGGGAAGAGGGACCCAGGTGGAGGGGCTGGGCATGGTTAAACACACGATAGCATGACCTGGTTTAGGAATCTATCAGGTGTATTTTCTCTCCTCTGCCCCACATTTGATAAGCTGGGGGTCCTCTCCTAGGAAACACTGAGAGGCTCCTCAATATCCCTGCAGGGTGGGGTTCTGAAGTCCCATTTTACAGGAGAGGACACCGAGTCTCAGAGAGGTAAGTGACTTATCCAGGGTCCCACAGCCAGAAAGGGGGACATGAGATGGTACATTGGCTCCCTCTCAGGACACCCCACTCCCCGGTGGGTCACCCCACCCCACAGTACTCACATGCATCAGTTCTGTGATGGCCACTAAATCTGCCACTGAGATGTGGGGCCCGATAAGGAAGTCCTGGTCCTTCAAGAACTTGTCCTCAAGCAACTGCAGGCAGCTGTCCAGCTCGGCCAGAGTAGACGCCAATGTTTCAGGGGGCACCCGTTCACCCAGGAACACAGGGAACATCATCTGGTGGGTGAGCAGGAAGGGATTGGGCTGAGGTTCAGCCCAAAGCCCAGTCTGGTTCTGTTCTCATCTAATCGATCACCAGTCCTTTGGATTTCTTCTCACTGCCACCCACTCCTTTCCACCCACAGCCACCACCTGCCCAGGCCTCATCTCCTACTCATACGGGACAACCTCCACCTCTCCCTGGGTCCTCACACATGGCAGCCAGGAGAATCCTTCTGCAGTCTCAGTCTGCCCATATCTTCTCCCTGTATAAAACTTTCCAAGGTTCCCACTTCCCTCACCACAAAGGCCTCGCCACCGGCCCTCACTCTCCCCACTGCCATCCTCTCCCCATTCCCCACTTCCTGCTCCACCCAGACTTCTCAAATGGGAATGTGCCTGTGAATCCCTCTGTGATGTGGTTCAAGTGCACATTCTTTTTTTTTTTTAAGATTTTTATTGGG